CCTTCAAGGCAAGACTATTACCTGCATTTTATGTATGAGAAACTGAGACCTAAGGAAACTATTCAACCTGGTAAGGTAACATAGAAAGTCTGTGATAGAGCAATGAGTTGTATTGCTGTATCACAGAGCTATACAACTAGAAAAAAAAAGCTAGATCTTGAGTCACGTAATCTAGCTCCTGGGCCATTCTGCTACCTGTAACCTTTTTGGCAAAAATGGGAATTGCATAGACTGTAGTAATTCCTGTAAGTTTCTTAGCACTTACGGGTGTGAATATGAATTATAAAATGCTGGGTCTGTCGGAAGTTAAAACCTATCTTGCTGTTGACTTTAGCATGCTAACAGCTAGTATCGAAATAATCTGGCATTAGCATAGTAACCCATGGAAATTACTACAAATAGAATGGCTAGGGGAACTTTATTTGAATGTTGATTCTCATATACTGCATAAAAAACTTAATTCTGTTTGTCACTTGTTGCCACCTCCAGACAGATTTCCCAATTTAATCCCAGTTTTGTGACTTTTATTAGATTGGCTTTTTGGCAGAGACACTCTAAATCTAGTTGACAGTTTATCTAAGAACTGACATATATTGCATCTCAGTGTCTGTTTCCAAGCTTTAACTTTCCTTGGCTTCAAAGTCTAATCTCAGCTACTCTGATTGAAATCTGTTTAGTTTGGATTCTCTCTCCTTTCCCTCCCCCCTCCTATTTCAACAGTGGGAGTCAAAAACAATAGATCTAATGTGCATGCTTTTCTTCACTTATGTCCCATGAAGATGTATCACTGAAGTGACTTATTTCTTGCAGATGAATTATGTTGGGCCGTCTTACATGGCACAAGACATGAATATCATGCTATGCCTATGGAAACAAAAATCCTTGAAGAGTTTATCAAGTCATTTTTGGTACATGGCTAGACAATATTCTAAATACAGTTCAGCTCTGTGGTTGAGCAAGAGGAAAGCAGAAAAGCAAGCAAACAAGGTTTGCATCTCTAAACTTCCACAGATGTACCAGCTAGAGCAAGTGGCTTAGGAGTGTGTGTGAAAGCATGAGGAGCTCAGGTTCCCTTTCCTAGGTGAAGAGTTCTGCAAGCCAAGACCCTGACCAGGAAAACCTGTCTGTACTTTGTTGTTAATTAGATCTGGGTCTTGAGAAGACATCTACAAGTGGTTGTTCATTTATTCGTTCCCATGATAATTGGGAGTTCATACCTACTGATATCAGAACTGGTAGTTTGTCTTGGTCAGGTTCTTAAATCTCTTCTCACTTCTAGTACAGATCAAACAAGCTACTGTGAGGACTCCTTGTGATATAATTCCCATCCTTAACCAAAACTGTCTACATTTGCTGACCTTTGAGAGATGATGTGAAGCTTGGTTTTGAGCAAGATTTTTGGGGTGATTCAATTAAGTGTAATTCTTACGCTCTGGGGAACAGAGTTCTTAGTGATTCTTGGGACCTTTCTGAGGCTGACTGCTTAGTATGAGAATTGAGAGGTGGTGATTCTGTCTGATCAATGCTGCAGTGTTAGTGGCCTGTGTTATGAGTCAGGTTCTGCATATGACTTTACAGGCTGTGGTTTTAATGATCTAAAAGCTTTTGGACAAACCCTGCATCTCTTCTACTTCGAAATTTCTTCCAAAATATTTCCTAGCAAAAATAACGAATATTCATGTAAGAGCTGTGCATAATTTTCTAAACAGCTGTAGATTTACTCTTTATCCTAAAATAAGGCAGTGATAATTCTGTTGTCTGGGTCTTACACAGAACACAACCAACCAGCATTGCCACATTATATTCTTCGTAGTAAATGACACAGACATGTGAGTATAGTCTGTAGTTCTTATAACCAAAGGGCATAAGCCAGGCCCAGGTACTTAACTCTCCTTTATTATTGCACAGTTATTTCTTTATTACATATTTTCTTTATGTACAGGATTTAGAGGTTTAATTATCTCATTTTTCTATTTTATATTATTTGCATAGCAAAGTTTTGAGGAGGTAATATAATTAATTTCTAAGGTTTGCCTGTAATGCTGAATTTCCTCTATTTATAGTCCCATTGCTGAAGCCTGTAAATGTTTTCAAATACCAAGGTAAGAGAATCAGTTTGTATGACACATTTATATTTTTTTCCATTTGCAAAAATTCCCCCAAATTCTCTGTCTGCTGTTTTCTCCCCACACATCTTTTAGTTCCTACATGACATATTCTAACTAAACATTACCAAGATATTTTACTTGTAAGGAAGATAAAAAGCCCAACAGACAAAACTGACAGGTTTTGGGAAGTGGAGGTAGCACTGGCTGTGCTCTTCTTTCATCAAATGGTGCAGAAGCTCGGGTATTCACTGAGGGTACGAGACTTGGATGCTTTGTCTTACAGAATTTTAACCTTAGTCTCTAAGAGGAAGCTCTGAGCTCTATGCTAATAAAACATTACGGGCCTGGAGTTTCACTTTTGCAGATGTACTGGAACAGCCACTGCAGCAAGGACAAGAATCCAGGTGTTTGTTCTAGTTCCTAGGCAGGAAAGTGATTATCTTTTTCTGTCTCAGTCTGTTTTTTTTCTCCAACCCAACTGGAAGAAAGGATTCTAGCAGCTTCCTCAGACAATCCTAACCATTAAGCTGAAATGCTCTCCAAAATGTCCTTGCTAAAGGAGGGCCTGTTCCACACTGCCTGAAAGTATTAAGTTTTATTTATTAGGCGGGAGAAGGTGAGAGACAGGCTCAGGGCTCTTGTTAGGGGAGCTGTTCGGAAAGGTGGAATTTCCAGATTTTTATCCTGCTGACTAAGGATGCTTAATTATTTGTGCAACCTGGGACAGCACCAACAGTACATGTACTCACTGGCAAGGAGCTATGCTGTTCTTATGGGAGTTGTGAACTGACTGTCTTCAGGCCGAGAAAGAAACTAAGACTCCTATATCCTGGGATTTGTCCTAACCTCCTTCTGCAATTGTGTAAAGCTAATCCTCATTTAGTGTGTCTTCCATTTGAAAGAACTGAGCAAATCTAACTGAAGATGTTTGATTTCACTGAACCACATTTTTTTCAACACTCCTAATTGTGATGAAATTTAACCTGGCAGTGTAGCATAAAGCCATCTGCATGAATGACAGGTATGGTGTGGGTTTGTTTTGTTGTTGTTTTTTTTTTTTCTCGGTAAAAATGACAGCTTGTTATTCCATGTACTTGATCAAAGTTGCAGCTAGAATCTTAGCAAAATCATATTTGTATTTCTGTCAGCACTGCATGATTGTCATAGCTGTAGAAGACCAGAGTCTAATCTGTTCTGTCTTGTGCAACATCAGCAAAATTACCAACTATGTTCTGATTCTGTATTTCTTTATTGTTGGTGATGAATGATGTACTGGATGAAACAGAAGGAGTACATCTGGAATACTGGATATCATGCTGAGCGTGTAATGCTGACACTTAGGAAAATCTTGACTTGTAAGCTAAACATTTTTCATATGGAAGTCACTGATAAGTAATAAATAGAGCACCAGAATGTAAATCACTCATGTTTATTACTGCACTTTATATAGTAATGTAAGTCAATACCAGTGCTTTAAAGCACAGACTTGTCATCTGCAGCTTTCATTCTGGATGATCCATAGATGTTCTGCAGGTATTTTAAATGAGACCAAATGGTACTATTGAAATATGGGGTTACAATACCATTCTCTAAATAAAGATACTGTATAGGATGCATTTTATGAGAAGAAATTTTTAAAATAGCATGTAGAAAACATAAGGATGCCAACACTTTGAGATTCTTATTGGATGCTGTACTCCATTATGCAGTGATCTCTCACACAGAGGAGAGTTATGTTCATATGTATGAGAAAGTGAATAAGGAGGCCCTCCCTACCATTATAATCACCAATTTAATGCAGACGTGCTATATATAGGATGAAAATGTCTCCTTTTTAGTTCTTTGTTAACTATAAAAGGAAAAAACAGGACAAAATCAATGGGTGTGTATCCAGCATCCAACATTCCAACATATTATTCTCATGATATTGATTGCTCTAAAAACGGCAAAGCAGTAGGAATTTTGAAAATATTACACATTCTCTATCTCTTTAAATAATCACTGCTTTCACTTAGGAGAAAACTCAGACTTGAGTTTTCTTCAGTCAGTCTGAGCCGTGGTCTTCTTGGATGTGGAAGAATAAAATCGGAAGTGGTTAAAGCTGGGAACTGTGGGGAAAATGAGGGAACTTTTATTGAGCAATCCTAAAATTGTTTGCTAGTTCATTACCATTGGCATTCTAATTACCATAACAATTAAAGAATTTCCAGCTTTGAAGTTTTTCAGTATTTGGGGGATATAGGAATCAAGATTTTCATTTGGTCTCATAGAGAATAGCAAATAAGTGTATAAATAACTTGTGCTGTCAGCAGATAGCTTTGACACTAGTAGCCGTCATTGTTTCTAAAGGGATTATCATGCAGTTAAGTCAAAACACTGATAGGTGTTTCACAGTAGCTCTCTAAATAATTTGTCTTATTACCATTGCAAGTACAAATTGTAACACTTGTGATTCATCTGCAAAACATACCGCTTGCCAGTTGTTTTACTCAAAGTGCTTTGGCAGCGTGATCTGTCAGAAAGGTCAACAGCAAAACTAAAAAAAACAGGGATTACACTGCAGTTATCTATAGAGGGCAGTTTGCTCCAGAGACTCCATGGCTTTTTGCTTACCTTAGCATGTTCTCTGTCAGAAGGGCTAACAGACATTGTGAAAAATCGTCAACAGCAGATCAGGGTAAGCCATTATTTGCTGCATTAAGCCTGAGCTGATGGGACAGCTAGGGAGGGCTCTGGAGCCAAGGTGAGAGTAGCATAATCACCTACAGACAGAACAGCTATATAGATGTCCTTGGTGTGTTCTACTGTTATACGAAGGTTATTGAACCTGATTTACTTTGATTTCAACCTCAAAACATAATTTCATTTTTTATTTCTTCTTTATTTTCATAGACACTGACCAGATCTGGTGAATTCATTGATTCCAATTAAGTATGAACTGATATTTAGTTCCTTTAACTCTGGGAAAGGCTTCATATTCTGCAAAACATTACTAATGCCTGAAGTTTGTTATACACCAGTAAAAGGTACCAAAACCTTTGTTAGCTTCCTAACAGGTGCCTGTCAATACATGTAATTTGGGAGATTTGGAAAAATAGGTTTAATGCTAAAATTGTCTACTGCATTTTAGTTTCAAAGTAAAAACAGAAACCTTTTCTTAAACAGTTTGTTTACTCCTTAATGTGTGTTAAAAATATACAGTGTATGGATGTGTATGTGTGCAATGAGTTGAGCAACTTGTGAAGTGAAAAAATGAAATCAAATGTACAGAAGCTTCCATGAAGAGAAGGAAGTTTTACATTCCTACTCGTCTCTAACAGAGATACTCAGGAAAATAAAAATGCCACAGTCACAAAGTAAACCCTCTACAGCTGCAACCACTCATACTTCCTATTTAAAGCTCCAGTTTGCTATTCCAAACCAGTACTTACCAAAAAAACTCACCCTGCGAAGTATTGTAGCAGCTCAAACTGCACAAACACTTTTTGTACCATAATACATGTCTTGTTCATGAGTGAAATTTATTTTAATAGCGCTCATTTTTCTTACCTGCTGACTACTTTGTTGATTAACATCCTCTCTGAAATGCAGTTTTCTTTCCAGGTCCTTCACAAGTGCAGCTTTATTTTCCCGAATAGAATCATCTGTTGCTAATGGCAGAGGCTTCAGATTTTTCTTTATTAATCCCTGGGTTGGGCTATTAAAAGAAAATTCTGATACTAACATGCAGCAAACAGTATATATTTTTTTTGTCACCTGAGTGATATGAAATGTTACGTTTCAGTTGTCTGGAGGACCATGTTATTTATTTATGTAGAAGCCAAAGCACAATATGTAATTTTGGTTTTTTTGGTACTATTTTAAAGGTGCATCCCATTCCCATGCCAGTAAGAATGTGAAAGGGAATAAGCATTGTAGTACTATAATAAGCATCTAAGTTCCATTTGTATATATACTGGAATAATGGTATCACAATTAATGCTAAAGAAATGTGTATAGGTGTTACATTAGGTGTACAATTTGTACATTTTACTGAGTCAGGCAATAATTGTAAATTTAATACAATTTCCCATTGGTCTTTATCACCTTCATTAATCATTTACTCTTCCCATGAACTTCGGCTTCTTTCATTTCTCTCACCCTTTTGTGGCCCCTAACATCAACAGTTCTTTTTCTTTTTATTTTATAGATGTAGTCTGTTTAATTTTACTAAGATTTGAAAATTGTTAAATTCTTAAATAAGACTGCCAGGAGAGTGACGGTGCACTGCTGAAGCACAGCAGCAGCACACTACTAAAGAGTGTGCAGTGTTCTAGTGGTTTACCAGGAGTTGGGATCTTAATAACAGGGGGTCTAGGTAAGGGGCATAACTGATGATTGCTATGCAAGATGTTTTCTTTTTGTTGTTCTGCAGACATGGTAATCTCACTGCTCTTGTAGACAGAAATATTGCACTTGATAATGCCAAAGAAGGAAACTTTAACCTCAGTAGATATTCATGGGTTAATACAAATACTGTTCAGTTTCCTACCTCATCTTTTCTGCCCTCTCTTTGGCTCTCTCCCATGCAGAGATCTAGATTTGAATTTCAGCATGATGAGCTCTAGTTATGTGGGAATTCATCTCTGGGCTGGGACCCAGGAAAGGTGAAATGAAGAAAACAATATTTAACTACTCTGCATACTGTAAGGTTATATTGGGTAATGCCTGTACAACAGTTAGACAATGTAAAGCACTTTGCAAGGGTTAAATGTCATTAATGCAAAGAGAATAGTGCTTGCGCATTTGTGCACCAGCTCTGAAGGGGAGGTAGGAGAGTGGATGAGCAGTTGCAGTTGGTTTCTGCTTGTTCTTGCAATACTGTGAAAGCAGGCCCAGGGCTTGAGTTGGCTATAGTTAAAACCTTCACTGTGAACATTGTAACTTTATTACATATTTCAACTCTACTAGTAAAGAAGGAACTCTTAAAGCCACAACCTTTCCAGAACATCATCATCCTTATTTGCTTGTATGGTGGTAGCCATTTCGCCACAGAAATCATACTATCAATTAAAATATTTATGTGAAAATAACTCTCCTTAGATTTTCTGGTGGACTTTAAACATAGAAAATATTGCAACCAGGCAAATACCTTTACATAGGTTATTTCTGAGATTTACCTGGACTAAAAAATAACTTAGATTATGAGGTACCTTTTACAACTTCACTTGTTGCTTACAGTAGATGAGAATGTTTTTATAGCTCATACAGGCAAATAGTCTTAGAGTGACCTACCTTGCAAACTTATGAAATCTCCTTTCTCCCCCTAGTACAGTCTTACGAACCTCTGAGCCCCCAGATTCTGGTATGTGTCTGTTTATAAACTCACATTTCTCTATGTTGAATTTATCTTACCCTTGATGTATCTTATTATAGAAGCTACTACCCCTTTCTTTTTTAATGTAAAGTTTAGATTAAAGGACCAGAATGCATGAATTACTTGCTTTTTGATTTTATGAATGACTTGCAATTCAGTAGGCTCCCCACTGAACCCTTGAGCAGAAAATACGTCCTAGTTTCCTTTATGCATATTTCTTGTCCCTGCTTCCTTGCATGTGGTTTATGCTACTTACGTGGTTGGTGTAGTTCTGGGTAGTCCCATAGCATTGGTTGATGGCACAGCAGGAAGTGAAGGAAGAACAGCACTAAGGAAAGCTACTGGATTCTGAATCCGGCCAGTTGGGGAGATAGGAGCAGGAGTCACACTTTGTGGCTGAAATTGTTTTACACTTGGTGTAGAAAGGGTTAAAGGAGGCACCATGGATTCTTTAGGGCTTGGTAGAGCCTGTTCAGTTTTGCTTGTAAACCCTCCTGAAGACATTGATTGGGCAGGTGGAGGATTTCCTGTGAAATTTTCTTTGTTATTTGTCCTTTGAATTCCTTGAGGGATGTTGCTGAATGTTGTAACTAAGAAGCTAGAAGAGGAGCTGGTAGACAGTGTGGTTTGTGATGGTGGGAGTTGCTTAGGTCGAGTACAACTGTATGCTTGAGAAGCAGAAGCATTGCTTTGCTTGTATGTAGTCGAGGTTGACTGTTGATGAAGTGAAGTAGCAGAATTCAGTAAAGCTGGGTTAAATGACAACTCTCTTGCAGATATCTGATGCACCTGCTGTTGTTCAAGCAAGACCTGGTTGTGGAGCTGTTTTAACTGGGTCTGATCACTGCATAGAAAACAAAGATGAACAAAATTGGTCATGAGACCTGAATGTGCTGGCTAGCTACAGTTCCATATGTGAATTGTGATACAGTAACAGGTATGGGAAACTGCTACATGATATATTCTCTAACATTATGAGGAAAGCATAATATTAGTTTGCTACTGAAACAAACTTTTCCTTCTTCCATTCTTTGCCAGAGGCACAAAACTATTTTCTATGAAAATGATTTGACTGAAGACATTTCTTACATCTTAACACATGAATCGTAGAATCATTGAATGGTTTGGGTTGCAAGGGACCTTAAAATTGTGTAGCTCCAACCCCCTGCCATGGGCAGGGACACCTCACACTAGACCAGGTTGCTCAAAGCCCGATCCAGCCTGGCCTCAAACACTTCCAGGGGTGGGGTATCCACAGCTTCTCTGGGAAACCTGTGCCAGTTTCTCACCAACCCCATAGTGAAGAATTTCTTCCTAATATCTAATCTAAACCTACTCTCTTTCAGTTTAAAGCCATTCCCCCTTGACCTATCACTACATGCCTTTGTAAAAAATATTAAAGGAACAGCATTGTCATATACTGTTCTGTGTCGCAGAATCACAGAATCCCAAGGGTTGGAAGGGACCTCAAAAGATCATCTAGTCCAACCCCCCTGCAAGAGCAGGGTAACCTAGAGTTCATCACACCGGAACTTGTCCAGGTGGGCCTTGAATATCTCCAACGTAAGAGACTCCAAAACCCCCCTGGGCAACCCGTTCCAGTGCTCTGTCACTCTAAGTACCTCTCTGCTTGTGTAACTGAAAGAAGGATTTGGTTTATTGGATTTTAAATGAGCATTTGTAAGGCAGATTGCAGTTACTTAGCTCTTATTAAAGTGGGTTCTGAAACCACCATTTTGGCTAATGAAGCTTTGTAATAATCCACTGAAAGGTATTACCAATGTAGTTTAAGGTGGTATTGGCATTTGGTTACAGGCAGGAGTGCAATTCAGAGTACTTGCATTTCATGCAGTTGTTATTTCCCAGATACTATTTACTGTATGTCTTCTGGGATTTTTTTACTTTGCAACTAAGGAAAATTATTTTGCCTTGTCAAGGGGTTAATTTAGTTATTAATAGAAATACAGAAATAGAAATAGAGCATATGAAAAGCAGGCTAACTTTTCCCCTTTGAAAACCAAAACCAACATAGATACTATGGAAAATTATAATGTAATAAATTGTTGAATATGAAATAATTATTGTTAAATAGTGAAAAGTGTAAAAGTAGGGACCAACCACAATTGGTACTGATGAACCAAATATATGAAGTCAAGAGAAATTCTTTTAAAGAATTACTGTTTCTAGAATGTACTAAACAAAAATCACATTGAAGCTAAATATGACAGTGTAAAGCTTTCCAAAAGTAGCATTTTAGAGACTTAGAAGTTGTGCAATCCTGATTTTGTTTACTTCATATATACATGTGCATAATAATGCACTCCTTTGTTATGTTGGGTGCAGGGGAGGAGAAATTCTGTTTTATGCAAGCACTGGACAATTTAAATGCTGCTTCTGGTCCCCTCTTAAACACACCATAGCTCTGAAAGTGTATAGAGCTGTGAACATGGGCTTAGCAAATTAAAACAATACTGCTCCAAGTTATTCCTATGCTATATGGCATAAGTTCTGTCCCATAATGTTTATGCTATGTTATTACAACCCTGCTTAAAAGTACCAGTTAGTTACTTTATAAAGTCCTTCCTGAGCCTTAAGGAAGAAATGAAAATAAGGGCTCTGCATGTCTTTTGTTAAACTAGATTTGGGACATTCAAAAAATGCTAAAAAGATATTTCTTAATAAACTGCAGTGTGGATTCTGTAAATTGTCCTCTAAGAAAACTACACTACTGCTTAAAATTCCCCCTTGAGCTCACAGTGCACTAATCACGCAGGGCTTTTTAGATCAAGGGTTTTCACATTATCAGACTTCTCCAAGTATTTATCTGTTATGTTTAGACATGAAAGTCATGAGGTCTTTGGGTCTACAGTAGCTAGCTAGCAGCTACCCTATGCTATGTGTAAGCCTGGATATGTCTGGTCTTGGCAAAATTGCATACCCAGAATTTAGTGAGATATATTGAAAAAAATGCTTTTATTTTTCCCAAATAAAATCCATGTTGTCCATCTTTTGTTTGCAGCAGAAGACTTTGTGAAATTAAATACAGTTTCAAAGGGAAAACATTTCTCTTTCAAAATTGGGGAACAGTTTTCATAAGAGTGATAGACAGAAAAAATTATCTAGCTCTGTTTTTTATGCTCTATGTTTTTAAGGCCAGCACCAATTAATAGTGACTGTCTTTTTGTTCTCCATTTGATTTTTTTTGCTATAGTGCAATAGTGTGGTTTTCTATGAATACTAAATAATATCAGTGATGCACCTGAGACTTAGAAGCCCTTTTACTTACAGCTTTGGTTTAGCCAGTACTGGGGGGGGTTCCTTAGATGGTGATGTTGGCTCTGGTATTTTCATTGGCTGTCCATTTATTGTCTCTTGGAAATAGTTGAGTCTGTTTTGGTTTGTAATGCCAGGTCCATCCTCTGATGATGATTCACTTCCTTTATCATCTTCAGGCAGCTTGAAGTGCACCCGGAGACCTATCTTGGAACTTGATCTGGGTTCATTGTGGTTCACAAGAACACCTTCAAGTTTAGGTTTGGGGGTTTGATTTGCTACACGGTGGGAGGGAGTACATGGGGGAGCTTGATGTTCAGCAGCAATTAAGTTGATTGAGCTCATTGTGTGAAGGGTAGCAGCATTACTACTGTCTTCAGATGCTGAAACAGTAAATATCAAACTTCTGGTGATATGTAAAACCCATAAATTATAGTGACATGAAATCACAAAAGTTACGGTTAAAAAACCTCACTCTGATGTCCTTCCAGCTGTTGGACTGAGTTGTTTCACCTCATTTGTTTAGCAACAAGTTCCCTTAACAAAGGAATATTGTAAAGGTGGGGGGAAAAGAGACAGAGTTCTAGTTTGGAAGATCCAGAAGTGGTCTTCAGCCATGTGTTCTGTGAATTCCACTAGCATCTTTGAAATGCAAACTTTCTTTTCAGATAATTCTCTGACTTTTTACTCATGAAAAACACTGTCAGAACTTGACCTGAATTGGAGTTAACAGCACGCTGTTCTTTTTTATATACTGTACTTTGCTCACTTAACTGCATAGTGCCTTGGCAGCTTACATCATGTAGGCAGTATGAAAGAATCTTTCTTGAGGTTTCCTCCTTTGGGATCTGCACCAAAGGGTTATTGAAACAACTATCTAGACAATCCACAGAGATTCCAGAAATGGCTATTGCCCAAATCTTGAGGTCAGCAAGAGCTGTGTTTTTGGAAGGGCTGTGTGAAATTCATTCGCTAATGTCCTTTGTTCCTTCACATTTCTAATTGCAGAAGGGCACTTGGAAAAGGCATAGCAATCTCTATGTACAATAAGCAGCCTGGACTGAACAGGGTAGCAGCCCTGCTCTGCTTGTATTAGCAGGCAAAAGACTAAAACGAACTTACCTTTGACAGTTAGATGAGCTATACTAGATACTGTGCCATATTTATTGCTTGCAGTACAGGTAAAACTGCCAGAATCTTCTGAAAATACTTCAGCGATAACAAGAGTACAAATTTCCTCTGCAAAGCATCAGAACAGCATTATTACTTGAAGTGAACATGCATTGAACAAACACATAAAGCCTTGACTACCCTTGGGGACATTTCCTTACATTTTCCACCTTGCTTAGTTTGATTTTAGTTTCATCAGTATTATCAATTTTGGCAGCCTTTGTGTGCAGCAGCTGTTATCAGCATTGTCTGTAGCAACTGGTATGCTGTGTGCTGCAGCATGCCCAACAAAGTGAAGAACAGGTGTCAGCAGTGTTTGGAAAACATTAGAAAATGTTTTCCTAACCACATGAAGTACCGACTTTCTCTCTGAAGAACTTAAAGTTTAATTTGGAGAAATACAGTGTATTCTATATTCACAACTCACTAAAATATATGTATTTTCACCTCTGCAAATGGAAAGATTATCTATAATTAACTGGGAACAATTCAAGTCACTCTGTAATGTGAAGAAATGCAAAACATATACGTATAGGCTGGCATTTTCCAAACGTACTAGTGCAGATTTGCAGATAGAAGGGATTGTGCTAATTGTGCTTCTAGAAAGCAGCATTTTCATTTCTTTGTGAAGAAGATTAATGGGCACCAAAAATGTGCTATCAGAATTGTAATAGAAGAAATTAAATTCCATCTTGAAAAGTCAGTCTGGGGCTATGACATTCCTGTCTGACCAGGATCTGACATGTCTGGACAGCAATACCACCTAGTAATTACCTATGGTGATGGGATTTTAAATCTTTTGTTTGATTGGATATCTGGGATGGGGAGAAAAAGTAGCATTGGAAGTGTATTGAAATGTGGGCTGATAGCATTTCTTCTGCTAATCAGTGATTGTTTTGCTACCATTTTGCAAGAAACTTTCCTAAAACCCAACTGGATTAGTATCTCATGAGTATTTCTGTGGAAGACCATACCACACTTAAGCTCGATTGTTTCATGTCATCACTGAGGAAAACCTAGCGACAAAGAGATTATTTGCTAACAATTATAGGAGAATAATAGTTTATTATAGCACTAGGATTTTAGAACTAGTTTAAGGTACTGCAGTATCTAGTTTACATACTTGCATTTGCTAGCCACTGCATGCATGGAAATGCAGATTCCTTCTGAATCAGCAGCAGGTGATGAGGCAGTGACAACTGCACCTAACTGATTACCCTCTAAAAACTGCTTCACATTACTCAGAAGTGATGCCACTGGACAGTGAAGGCACAGCATTGGTGGGTTCTAGCAGAAGCTCCATTTATTTATTCCTAGGTCTCGGAAAGAGACATTGCAAAGGGAGGAAGTTGCATTCAAGACATTTTTGGGGGCAAAAATCTTTTAATAGGGCAAGGAGAAGAGTTACAGGAATTTATATTCCACAAGAATTAATTAATATAATTCCACAGAAAAAAATCATTTGGTGATTTTCTGTCTTAAGAGGGGCAGCTTTACATTTCTAATAGTGAAACCATAATGGGGAGAGTGATTGTCTCATGGAGAAGTAGTAAAAGCCTGTAAGGCTCCTTTGCTCAAAATATGCTGCTCTGATCCACGAAATTAGCAAGTTCAGCCACTTTTATAGCATTTGCTGATATCAGGGGTGGAACACCTGATGTGATACTCTCATATTACGCTAGTAGAGAGCAAAGGGAATGGCTGACATGGCTAAATGTCTTATGCGATGTTCCCTAACTGGTAAACTAGATAAAAATAGCTCAGTCCTACATCATCTGGTGTACTTATGAACCTCAGATATACAGGGGAACCTCATCCATTAATTTTGTTAATCTTCAGTTCATAAGGTGGCAGCATTTAGATTCTAAGTTAGAACTGGGTCAAAACAGAATGGAAACATTATTTTCTTTAAAAATGATAGAATTAAATTATATGTTTATGGAACAGACTAGAATGACATGCATCTTACAAGTAGCTATAGAATGTTGGAGAAGGAAGAAATTATGTTAATTAAGTAGTGGAGTTTAATTAGTATTTTTGAATATACATTTGTATAATCAAAAAAGTATGAGCTTTTTGATGATCCTCACCTGGTTCAGCCATAGATCTTGGTTCTAAAGAGAAGAAGAGCAGAATTAGTAGATTGAGTAATGGCTTCCTTTTGCCAATAATTTTTCTTAAACACTAAATACAAAGCTTGATCTTCTCAATAAGATGGAATATTCCTTTTGATGTAGTTTTCTAAGGGGTGGTGGAGACAGCCAGGCCTTGTAGTCAAATGTATGTCAAATCCACTGAACAATATGAATACTTATGAACATTTTTTAGAATTTATGAATAGGAAATAAGTTCTGGAAGAAGTTTTTTTTTTGCAGTCTTAGTACTACTTTATTGTGTCTTGAAGACAATTTCTGAAACTATTACACACATGAAAACAAGTTATGATAAAATATGTTTTCCTATAGGTTTAATTTTGTGTGGTTTTAAGGAATTTTTATTGAGTTTTAACAATTTTAGCATGCCAGTGAGTTATAAGGTTTTTTTGACTGCACTTAAAAATTAAGGTAGAAGTATATGCTTGCAACCTAATATCTATCGTGCACATACATATGGAAGCATGCTAATATGTACATCAGGTTACTTTTGTGGGTAAATAAGCAACCCACTGCCCATAAGCTATATTGCAATAGCACTTAACTATAAGATGAGGAATTTATGGGCAATGCAGCTCTACATAAACGGTGCAAAACCAAAACCAAACACTGAAAGTAAGTCTGGATTAGAAAAGGACATTGAAGTGGCAAAGGGATCAAAGCAGAAAGAAAAACACCTCAGTAGTTTGGGGAATCTCAGACAAATACTACCTATGAGTATGCTGTTTAATTCATCCACAGTTTTGGCTTCTAGAACCCAGATATATTGCCATAAGTATGGCTTATATAGTTCTTACCATTGCAGTGAGAAATTCAAAGTGTTGCTATTAGCAGTTTCTTTGCTTGCCTGTATTTCATTAGACACAGTATTTCCACACAAGAAACGTACTTTTCTGTAATATCCTAAAATCTGGAGAATCTTCTATCAGTGTTCCTTCTCTATACCATTCAACCTTTGGGGAAGGAGCTCCTTTCACCCGACATTCAAAGACCACAAGCTGCCCTTCAGAAGCTGAAATATCCTGTAACATCTAATAGAGAAAATGCATAGACAGTCAGTAAAAGTCTTATTGGTCTGGAAGTAATACTGATTTCAGTAAGATTTCATAAAGCCACTCAATCCTTGAATGGCTTAAGAAATGCATAATTCCTTTTTTTTATCTTTGTTAGAAAATGTTAATTACCTCTCAATACAATTAATTGGCTGCTAGTTTTCAAGTATGTCATAGAACAAGTTACCTTTGTAAACACAGGAGCAGCAATTATAGGTCTTCCATCCAGTCCTTGCAAATAGTTAGTGGGGCTTTGAGCCTGTAGATTGCAAAACATCATATGATGATATTTAGGTGTATAGTGGTTATTTACCCATATACAGAAGAAATATGCTTTTGGAATGACACAAGAGATTTTGGTGGGTGAAGTCTAAAGCAAAATATTTAATGAAATGAGAAAATGTTGCTCTATTGTAGGCAACTGCTAGTGATCTTCCTTAAGGGGACACTGCCTGGGTAACAATGATTTATTGCCTTACTGAATTAGTCATGGCAAGGAAAACTTCACTGCAACGTAACATCTTTCCTTAATACTTCACTAAGGCAGATCTGTGTAGGCTCCTTGGTAGTAGTCTCTTTTTAAAACTTCTTACTTGGAAAATATCTGTGGATGTTAATAAGCAAAAGTTCAGTCAAGTCATGTGTGTGACTAATCCTTTGCCAAAACCAAATAATTTCAGAGGTGGAATATGGTCTTATTGAGCCTACTCAGTGAAATCAGAATGAAATTATTCTCCTCCAGGAAAACATCCTTATATGACTCTGTTAATCGAGTTTTCCATTTTAGTGAAATAGAATCTGCCCCAGAACAGCCGAATTAGTGCTTCAGTATCTCAGGAAACAGCCAAATTCTATAGATGGTGTCTTATGGGCCAACAAAATTAAAAATGGTGATTTTTGAGATAACTACTACTCTGGACTTAGGCAGCCTCTGTCAAAATGGCATAATGCCACTAGGGCTTAGTTCTGTTCTCTTTATAGTCAAAAATACATGCACATTGCTTCACCTAGTCAGTATCTGTTCACTGGTTACCACCTAATTCTACTCTGTAAACATTGAAAACGCAGTATAAAGTGCCTCAGTTTTGTTTTTAAGGAGATACGGGTCTTCCTTCCATTAGGAAAGAATGCACAGTTACAAATATTCTGATAGTATGAAGCAAAAAGGACTCTAAATGCATGCTAACATTAATTAGAAACTCTTTGATATGGATATTAAAATGTTATGTGTAAATAGCGTATCTACATATAAAGTAAACATAGCAGGGAAATCATTCTGCTTAAAATAAGTTTCACTGAAAGAAAATGATTTCAGGTGAGTTCTTGAGAGAGAAAAAAAGCTACAGGAAACTTTTAGGAGAGGTACAGGAAAAAGTTATAGGCTGCCACTATTGAAAGTGAATGAGTCAATCTGCAATGAGGCCAGTGAGCTGAGTTACACATCCAAGTGCCCTTCACGGCATGCAGTCCCTGACCTGCTGGAGTGCACACAGATTCCCACCGCTGGCTGAGCTAGCAGCAGCTGCTCCTTCTGCTCATTGCTGCAGAGATGCCTGTAACCTGAGGGTGAAAGATTCCCTTCCCTGTACCAGGTGCTAAAGGTTAGCTAGTAGGCAGAACATCTCTTCTGTGTATGCAACTACTGTATGGTGGTAAGGTTCAAAGCAAAAACTAGAAAATTTGTGGATTCTGAGTCACAGACTGGAGAAGAAACACCTTTGTAAGAGCTTGCTTTTGGTCCTTGCAATTCACCATCTTGTCTCCCCTACCTGATTAACTGGTGTTGACACAGGCTGGATAGGTACAGACACAGGCTGAGCCACAGCAGATGGTGCCTTGGAGGTCTCTAGATGCTTTGTTGCGGTTCTAGCAGCAGGAGACGCTTCATTCAAGAAGGTGTCAGTTCGCTTTGGTTTGCTGTGGAATATTAACCAAAAACAAATTCTCTAGTTGAAAGCTAGAGCTGCATGTGTCCCCCCTATGTCTGTCCCACTTACATGTTGATCCCAGCTTCACTTCCAGGATCAAATTCCAATTGATCTAAAGTGATACGTACTCCTAGGTAAACTGTATTTTATAAGAATCAGGCTACTTATCTTGCCACTGTAATCTCTCATACTTAGTTCAGTTACACCAAGTGTAGTAAGTGGCCTGGATTAACCCATTTATGGCTTGAAAGCTACTGTTACTAGCTCTGAGCAGCATGAGAGCAGAGCTAGTTTCTCAGAGGACAATGCTAGTTTCTCTTGCTCCCTGAACTTGTATGAAGATTTGGGCCTATAAGGTAATGAAAATACCATGGTCTACCAGGATACAGATTCAATAATTTACTGCTGAAAAGTAAAAAAAAGAAAGGTATGCTTTCTGACCAACGTATCATGCAACTTTGGAAGTGTACATGTTGTCATGTCTTCACTTCTTCTAGGTTGTTTCTCTATGGAAGTAAAAGAGTTGACCCTTTTTTTTTTTTTTACTGCTAAATGAAATAATGCAGATAATGAAGAGATGGTCTTTTTATTCAGTTTGAGCACTGACTGCTCTGGAATGTACCACAGGTTCCCACAGGAAAGCCATCCTTGAAACCCGAGGAAGCCTTACTCAGGGTGAACATACAGTTACGGTGATCACCCGTTTCCCTTTTAAAATTATGGATTTTTTTCACCTGTTCTCATATTAATTCCCTTTAATTACAGGTGTGCAGATTCATGTGACAACAGCTGGAAGCTAGGCAAATATGAAGACACTCTGATTTACACACAAAACTGCTATTTTGTAATTCTACCATCTGAAGACATCCCGTTACAATGTCAGAGCAGTAATCTTTTCTTCCCTAAGGATTACTTCACAATTTAATGAGGTAAGCAACTTAGAGATGTCACCAAGTGATCAAGATCCTAGTCAACATTACATTAACACCTAATGAGATGAATAAGAAGAAACAGTATGCCAGAGGCACCTGGAAAAGTCTGAGGTAAAACTATGAAAACCTTAGCAATTCATCCAAAAGTATAACCCTCATTAATAAATAATGGAAAAAAATAAGGTGCAAGTCTATTCAATTAAAATTTCCTCTTTATATAACATTGGTTCCTATTGAGGTTGAATTAGTGCATACAAAGGAGTTCAAAATAAAAGACTGATTATTTTAGTTTTCAACCAGCCTGAGTCCCTTTGAATTCACAGAAAGACTTTGATTCTGAAAGATTGGATCAGGTTCTAAATGCATGAGGAATGGATTTCATTTAGGCAAAACATAATTATTTCCCAGGGTTTAGATTACATCTGACACCTTTTTTTTTTTTTTTTATAATTAACTAGTCTTTTTGCCATCATTTCAGTTTGCATTAGTTCATATGTGCTAATTTCCTTATCTTAAATCTAAATAACGCATGTATAACCATCTTCTTCCAAATACTTTCATGTAAGAAATCTTACATTTAAATTGGATATGTAAATCAGCATTTAAGATGGGTCTGAATTTTAAGATGCCATCAAATGGCATCTGGTTTAGTACATTAATTTTAGTAGTTTAATCTTTCAGGTAACATATTTCTCCTTATTTTTATATTTAATATTAAAATTTCAATTCTTAAGGTAAACTTGGAGACACACAAGCAAATGTGTAGTTCCATACTATTTTAAAGCAAACAAGCAAACACACAAACAAAACGCAACCCAATCCAAGCAAATCTCAAACACAAGCCTAATGTGTTGGAAGTTGCAAAATATTAATGGAAACTGAAATGTCTATGCTTGTGGGGTTTTTAAACTGTAAGAGATATGGAAAATGTAATTGATTTTCAACTTACTGATCCATTTCGTCTTTGATTATTTCACCTTCAGAGTCAGAAGAAGAGGCTCCTGTGACAAAGAAACAAACCCAAACACTTAGCAGAGGGGTTTTGGGAGTTTATCTATGAATGATACAAACCTTTATTCATATTTCCTCTAGCACGTTCTAAGTGTGTATATTATAAAGCTAAGCCAAAACAGAAGATCACACTGTAGTGGAAATGAACCAACATTGCATACTATGCAAGATGCAGAACTGCTATTGACATAAGGCAAATTGGGGATAAAGTGTGAATGAAATGAGGAATACAGCATCCAAGAGTGAATGCATACCTTGATCTCCCCAGATTCTCTTTAAAATGACACCAGTAGATTTTAGGCTGTAATTTTTGTTGTGAATCATATAAGACTTTTTTTTTTTTTTCTCTACTGGCTTTAAAAAAACTGGGGGGGGGGGGGGGCAGGGGGGAGGGGAATGTAGCTGTTGCAATGAGACTAGTGCCTTGTAGCTCAGTTTGGAGAAGGTACTAGCTCAGTTTACTAACAGCTGTCTTACTGAGACATTTTACACTTCTGATTCAGCTTTCAATGCATTTGTAATTTGCATTTTCTCTCCCATTCCTGCCAGTGAGCATCTCCATCGGTCATGGGTTCCATCTGACATCCTCTGAGTTAGGTAAAAGCAGGCCTTGGCCTCAGTCTTGAGCAGTAGTAAATCCCTGCCAAGCACAGACATTTATAGCATCTATTGTGCAAATAAAATATCAAATTGCTGGCATATTTATTTTGGTTACAAGGTCCAATAATAAGTTAGGATGAAGCTATCCTATATTCAATTTGGGATAATGACTGTAGGGAAAAGATATCAGAAAGAATTAGATAGAAATTGAAATTTGTATCTTTCTGTAGGGTATGACAGACGAAAAAATATAAGTTGGCATCAGAATCTGAATATTTTTAGACTTTAATCTCGCTGTGAGATATAGAAAGTCTTTGGGGAACAACACAATAAATTACACGTAAAGGGCAGTCACTCATCTGAAGGTTATTTTACAGAGAAATAATAAAGACGTTAATAATGATGAAGCATTGACTCCCTGCTGTGTATTTTTTGTGAAAATCTATTTACACAGTTAACATACAAAGTACATAATTATATCTTAATCCTGCGTGATCAATTTAAACAACAATTTCTGCAACAATTTTATCATTACCTTCTATGTAAATCTCTGCAGAGGTGGAGTCTGTTCCATAGATGTTTGAAGCAAAGCACGAGTAACGTCCTGTATCCTCCTCAAAAGCTTCAACAATAACCAATGAGTGTTGATCACCTGTCTGGATAATTTGAATGTCTGGTGAGTTTTCAAGCTCCTTCCCTTCACAGTACCACCTGCAAGGCGAAATACACTGTTTATCAATGCAATCAACTTGACAAATAGAATGACATTGTTCAAAGTCTTTCTGATGATAAAATTGGTGTTTGTTAGGCTGAAGATTCTGACAGAGTATTGCAGGTAAGTGTAGAATCAATAGTCACAGGAATAAATTATTTTTTGTTTTTTCATAATATTCAACTACAATAAATATAGAGCTCCTTTCTTTGCAGTATTTTAACATGCTAACAAACTAATTTATATAAACAATTCTAGCACATATTTTTCTTGATACACAGATTTCAGTAGTAGAGTAGAAGAGCTCTGAATTTGGAATGCTGTTGATTCAGCTCTGAATTTCTCTTGGTGTACATTCAGATATGTGTTGTGGTTTAAACTGCAGAAAAATAGAAAACACACCTAAGTAAACAAATTCACCTCAAACTTGTGAGTCCAAAGTTCATGTTCATTCAGAATATGACTGAAATTTGCTATAATATTGTCCTCTGTTTTATCGTATATGTAAGACAATCTGCTTTTTATAAAACATAGAAAAAGGAAAGATAAGTGATTTATTACAATATAGCGGCATTTCCTTACAAGGACATGGGCAGTAGGACAGGTGGACCTTGAATTCTTTTCTGCATCATACTGCTGTTTTTCTCTGTTAAACCCAATTACACATCCAAGAATATACTTGGCCATTTAGAGACTTCATGCTTTCATCTGAGGCATTTCTATGTGCCTTAGTGTTCAGAATGGTTATTTCAGTAGAAAATACAGGAATCAAAGCAGAAGTAAAAGCAGCACCTAAAAAGCACCAAATGACAGTAAGCATCACTCAGTCTGAGAGCTAGTAGGAGAGGAGATCAGGCCTGATTGCTATTGCTTGTTAATATGAAGACAGAACAGAAAGAGAAAAAGCAAGTGGGTTTGAAGAACCAGGTTCAAATTTAATAAGACCATCCAGGTTTCATAGAGAAGCTGTAGTACTATGTATAGGGATCCAGAGTTAAATGTTTAAGATAATACTCAGAAATATCTGTATGATTTTTTGATAATTAGCTGAATTTGAAGAACCAAACTAAGGTGCATTTGTGTTTTCACTATAAGCTTTCTCATAAACATAGATATAAAACTGCACAAAAAAATTTGTATTTTCTGTTTATTGCTGCTTTCTTAACTACATATGGTTGATCAAAGCATCTTGTGCTTTGTGGGTGGGAGCTGTCACACTGACATTTTTTATTTAATTGACCTCCTAAAAAGAATAATTGTTTCACCCATCTTTATATAAGTATCTGCCAGTTTTTGAGTGCATACAAATGCTATCAATGCAATGGCAAATATATTTACTATTATATATCACACAAAATAAAATTAGTTGTAAAAAGGGTCAAAATATATTACTGAGTAATAAATTATAATAATCCATATTTTGTGGCTCATTATACAAGGTGCTTTATATAAAAGATAATTTAGAAAAACATTAATAAATAAATTTGTTTAAAAATTCAGTTGAATTCACCTCTTGGAAGCACAACTTTTTATAAAAGTTTGTGCTACAAATTGAACATGAAGAAAAGCCCAAATTAACATCTTAGGGGAAAAAAAATAAAAATCTGTAAGACAGTCCATACCAATGGAAAAGCAGAATTGAAAAAAGAGCCACAAATAGACTGTGAGGTATGAAGGAGTACAAATCTAGAATTTAAATGCTGATTACCATGTACTATTTCTGCACCATTAGTCCTAGCCATCCATTTCTTAAAGTAGACAGGGTTTTCCCCAGTCCACTTTGAGTCGCACACTAGTGTAATCTGTAGCTGTACACTCAACAGATTTGAATACGCAGCTTGGAAAGCGTACCAAGGGAGACTCCTGCACTATGGAATGAATCATGCTGCTTAACACAATTTCCCCTTTTAGAAAGGCAAACCTTTGTAGCTAGAAAGCTAGAACTTGGTTCCTGTCTATATCTGCTTGCTTATCCTCTTTTACAAGCCTCCTTTGTAACAGGAATTGAAAATGTGTCTAAGAAAATTACTTCTATAAATTTAACATTTCTGATTGCAACAGACAGTCATTTGTCATTTAGTAAATATCATCATGTTAAAAGAGAACGCCAGGAGGGTGTAAAATGTCCCAGCTCTCTTCCCTGACATTTCACAGCTAAGTACAGTTTACTAAAATACATCCACATCCTTCTTGCAGGGTTTTACCACCGACAAACTGTCACTGCTTTATGCGGAGAGCTTCAACCAAAGTCACTAATTTCTCTTCCATTTGAACCTTAGGGCTCTGATAGACCAGCTTTTTCAGATGTGGCAGCAGTGCTTTAAAATGCTAAAATCCTGATGCTGACTTCTCTGCTGAAGGTTTCCCACTCTGAAACGAGAATAGCAGGTTCAAATGTGTTCCCAAGCCCAGCTGCCCCAGTCTTAGTCTAATGAAAATGGGTTTGCACCAGGACACTGGATATGTGAATTTCAGGTAACTGAACTATACAAATTCTCCTATGTATCACTCTTGGTAAATGTTAATAACCATAAAAGAAGGGTCTGGACAGTCAGGAAGCTACAGGTACATTTAAATTGCCACAGGTGCTTGCATGAACTCAGTGTGAGCCTCAACATTGAGAATGTATTCCTCTATCCCTTTGAAGTTTGTCATTTGCTAAGTTTTCTACCACTCTTCTGGGCAAAATGAGATGGTTCAAGGTACTTTCTGTCAGTGGACAATCTGCCTAGGGCAACACTTCACTTCAGGATAGCTTTCAGCAGCCATTCATGCTGCTTCTCAGACCTCAACAGAACTTGTTTAAGGTGCTTCACAATACAGTTGTAAACAGTATTTTGGGTGTTAACCAAACACATACAAACATGCAACATTTTTGCAAATTTAAGAGATAGCTGTCATCATACAAAAGGGAGTAATAACATCAGTATATACCCCAGGATGCCAGGTGAGCTAGCACATGTAAAAAGATAAATAAGAGCTTACTGTCTGTTCAGACTACAAGTCCACCTAACTGAGCATGCTGACTTGACAGTGGCCAAAAGCAGACACTTCTGAAAGAGTATAAAAATGGAGCAAATACATACATATATATGTATGTATACTAATATACTTATCCTAGAGTATCTAACCATTCTCATTATCTTTTTTTATCTTTGTATCTTGTATCTTTATCTTTTATCTACCATTCTCTATCTTTTTTAGAAGCTGTGAAGCAGCACTTAAAAATAATTTTTAAAAGGTGAAATCAGTGGTCTTATAATTATTATTTGCAAACTAGTTCTTTTTTTAAAGGATTTCACTATCACAGTACCATTGCCGTTAATTTCTAGTATTTTGTTTGAATCTTCATTAAAATTTAGTTTGCAAATCCTGCTTTTTATTTGTGTCATCTTTATTTTGAAATAATTGTTTTACACTTCTATTTAGAGTACATGTCCTTTAGAAATAATGATCCTTCCAGCTTCTGATTGTTCATATTCCATCATAGGCCAGTCAGGAACCTTTCAGGTCTCTAATACAAACCTCTTCAGGCAGAAGGAAGAGCAACTATTTTAGACTCTGCCCACAATGACTTGCCCAAACCTGGTATTTTCCCCCACAAATAATTAGATAGAGTGGAGCCTTTTTGACTGGCTCCACAGAAGTGCATATCACATTTGCTTTTCTCTACAGTCGTGTCCTTATAAACATGTAGATACAGATACCGTAGCTAGTAGTGGGGTCCTTGGAAACCAGAACAAAAACATCTAGTGCCTGGGATAAAGGAACAACTCTACCACAAGTAAGTATAGGAAAAGTTTAGCAGTCCCGATGAAGAAGTATGGATATCTGCATTACAGGGCTGACTGAAGATGTCCTTTGAAATTGATTAGTGCCAGTTTTAAATTCCAGACCAGGAAATTACATAGGATTCCTGTTATCCCGAAGTGGGCTTTAAATTTTTTTTTTATTATTTTATTATTTGTTGTATTATATGTATTATATAGTTTATTCTTATGTTGCTTTCAAGATTTGCAATTGATGATAATTGAAAATGGTCACATTTTCAGAGAGAAGTTGTAGGACTACAAGCATAAATTTGGTATGTGAATGTACAAGTTGCTTTTAGGTGTCTAATACATATAGGCAACTGTGTACTTTAGGCAGTGAGTCATGGGACTTACTCATGCCTTTTTATATACCTACTGCATGCTTCCTTCTAATGTAGCCTTGGTTTAGCATGTTAGCTTTAGCGGATATGAAAAACTATCAAGAGAATACCCATGTTCTAGAATTTTATCTCATTTTCAGCACCACCTTTTCAGAACACTAAATTAACTTATACAGTATGGTGATATTCTGGTTTTGTGTTCACTCAAATGTGGCTCCTCAATCAAGTGACACATAAAGCAAAACACATTACACAGAATGCTGTATACAATCATTATTAAGATGTAATAACTCTTTATGTTACTAGTGGTCATCTTTTCCAATTAACCTTTGTGTGTCTGTGTGAAGATAAGTCTGTATTGCATGCCTATGTGAGGAACAATTCTAGTTTTCTATAGGCAAATTTAAAAACACCATATAAGCTGTTTATCTCAATTATTTTAGTAGTGTGTCAGTAGTATATTCCTTTAGTAGTATATTCCTTTACTTGACTTAAACAGACAGTGGAGCAGGATTGAGTTAATTCTTTTCTTTGCAGTTATTTTTTCCTTTGACTAGTTAAAAGTTTGCAACATAAGTGATTTAATAATTCAGGAATAAACTTATGTTTCAAACATTTGTTTAGTTCTTCTATGCAGTGCATTCTTTAGTCACTATTTTCATCATAAAGTTATTTTGAGATTAAGCTGAGAAAAAGAACATTCTCCAGGTATGCTATCTCTTTGAAATTCTATAAATGAAAAACAATTCTCTTTTGTGAAATTAAGTTTTCTGTAAATCTTTGGCATGGCCATATCTACTCTTTGCTTATT